GTACTTCCTGTCTCTGCCTGCAGGGGGCAGTGTTAGCGTACTTCCTGTCTCTGCCTGCAGCGGACAGTGTTAGTGTACTTCCTGTCTCTGCCTGCACGGGGGAGTGTTAGTGTACTACCTCTCTCTGCCTGCAGGGGGCAGTGTTAGTGTACTACCTGTCTCTGCCTGCAGGGGGCAGTGTTAGTGTACTTCCTGTCTCTGCCTGCACGGGGGAGTGTTAGTGTACTTCCTGTCTCTGCCTGCAGGGGGCCGTGTTAGTGTACTTCCTGTCTCTGCCTGCACGGGGCCGTGTTAGTGTACTTCCTGTCTCTGCCTGCACGGGGCAATGTTAGCGTACTTCCTGTCTCTGCCTGCACGGGCGGTGTTAGTGTACTTTATGGTCGTGTCCAAATTCATGGGCTGCATCCTTCTGAGGACCCGGCCCATGTAGAATGCGAAGGCCGGGTCCTCAGAAGGTCGGGTAGGCCGGAAGTAAACGGCTGTGAAATTGGACGGTCTAGCCTTCAGATTAGCATCACCGCTGTCTCGGTGGAGTTTAATAAACTCAGCCGTCTGCTCCTTGCTATCTCTCTGCATTGAATCATATCTGTTATTAACCTCTGTCTCTCTTCCACAGTATGTCTTTATCCTGTCTTCCTTCTCTCACCCCAACCGGTCACAGCAGATGGCCCCGCCCCTTCCTGAGCCTGGTTCTGCCGGTTTCTTCCTGTTAAAAGGGAGTTTTTCCTTCCCACTGTCGCCAAAGTGCTTGCTCATAGGGGGTCATATGATTGCTGGGTTTTCTTCCTGTTCCTATTATTGTAGGATCTACTGTACAATATAAAGTGCCTTGAGGCGACTGCTGTTGTGATTTGGTGCTATATAAATAAAATTGAATTGAATTGAACTAAAATATAACAGGACACTATTGTAAATTCTCGACTGTCTCACACTTCTGTTTAATCAGTTTTCTGTTTGATGTTTATTCAGCTGTGTGAAAACCAAGGAGGAACCCACCCGGGGGATTAATAAAGTTTTATTTTATCTAATCTAATCTAATAACTTTAATCTCAGCCAAACCGATTTACTCACGAACAAACAAAACACTGAAAAAAGCCAAACAATAACATTTTTAGGTTGTCTAAGTGACTTATACATTACGTTTAACCCGAGTAGCAAAAGACCGCAGTGATCTGAAAATTATGTGTTGTGCCGTTCTTGGCGGCTCTAGTGACCCTCGAGCTCCCGGCTAGCTATCAAGCTGGTGGGTAACAGACGTCTCCGAAAACGTCTGAGCACTTTTGCAAATATGTGATGTCTTGATAAACCGAACAGATATTTGATGTTTACACAGCTACTTTCTCGCCTGAAAATATGTTAAAAGTTTATTTTGTGACCCAGAAAGATTAGTAAGAGTAATATTAAAAACTTAGTAGCGACCGCCATTGTTGAAAACTGGAGTTTGGCTGGGCCGTGCTATGAATTCTGGGATATGGTAGGCCACGAAGGACACACCCGACCCATCCTTCAAATTCGGGGAAAAGGAGGACGCATTTGTCGGCTGCATTCGGAGGAGTCTACGAATTTGGACAGCCTTCATCGCGTCACTGTAACGTAATCGGTCTACAAATGCGGCCTCAGGAGGATGCAGCCCATGAATTTGGACACCCCCTTTGTCTCTGCCTGCAGGGGGCATCGTTAATGGCGCTGTCTTAGCTTCACGTACGTTCTCGGAGACGCAGGGTCCTTTAGCGTTCAGAGACACGCAGGGGCCAATGGCACCGGACACTTTGATCTCTCTGGACGTCTGCATGGGAAAAACACAGCAGGGGTCATTAACCTGTGATAGAGATGTGCTGGGGGCGGCGCCTCCCTGTTCTTCTGTGCTTTTCCTTCATACCTTGATCTCCAGCGTGGCGGCGAAGGCCATCTTAAAGGATCCCTGGACATCTTTGGTGAAAACCCTCTGGAAGGTCTGCTTGAACAGAGACGTGTTGAAGGAGTCGGCCATCACCATGTAACCGCTGCGACACAGAGACACACGTCACGCACGAATACGACCACAGAGGGCACTACACAGCCCACCAGCCTTTGACAGGGTTCAGGAGTGAGTGTGTGTGTGTGTGTATGTGTGTGTGTGTGTGTGTACCCGGTGTAGTTGGTGCAGCACTTCATCTCCAGCAGGCCGGTCTGATCTAGGGCACAGGCGTAGATGTCGATGATGTGACCGTTGCTGGACGCTCGATTGGCCAGAGACTCGTAGTGCTGTGAGCCAGCGATCAGAACAACGAGAGCAAAGCTCACAACAACCATTAAAAGTCTTAAAGAACGATAAAGTAATGATGAAAATAATCAGGTAAAAAAAACGGGTCACATGGTCTGTAAATGGCGTGCACTCACTTTGGTGGCCTTCTTCATGAACTTGGCGTTGTCCTTCTCGATGTCGTGCCAGGACCTGATCGGCGTCTTCAGCTCGTCTCCCACCACCATGCCGGGCCCCTGCGTCGCCGGGCCGCCTATGAAGGTCATGATGCGTGCGCCAGTATTGGGAAAGGTGCACTGTGGGTAAAAGAACACAAACAAAACCGATGATCAAAGTCTTTGAGACATCCACGCCATGTTCTGTCTGCCTAAAGCCCCGCCCCCTCACCTCCAGAAGCCCCACGGCGATGGACATGGCAACGCCCAGTGAGCGCAGCGGTCTCTTGCCCTGCGTCACAGGCCAGGGGTCGCGCTGCAGCTCCCCCAGCAGGTCGGTGAGGTTCATGTCAATCTTCTGCACCGGCTGCAGAAACCTGCAGGAAAATTCACAGTGAGGAATGCCGCTGCTGTGACAGCACCTTTACTTAAACCACACCCACTCAGGCTCACAGGAGGCTCACCTGTTGAATGACTGCTGTGGCGCCGCCTGCGGCCCTCGTCCCTGAGCGGCCGAAGGTTTGGTGAGACCCAGCATCTCCTACAGGAAGCACAGGTGTTGTTAACTCACCTGAGTTCTGACGCTCGGGAAGCCCCCAGCCCCACCCCAGAGGGACATGCAGGTGACGTACCTGCAGCTGTTTGGCGTTCAGATCCTTGGTCCCCCTAAAGACGTAGCTCTTGGAGATACCCTCGCAGCCGAGCTCGTGCACCTGAACCATGCGTCCGAAGGTGATGAGTCCGACGAGCGCGGTGGGCGGGAGCAGAGACAGCGACATCTGCAGAGACTCCTTCAGCGCCTGCAGGTCCTCGTCCTCCATGCAGGTGTCCACCACATACAGGAACACCAGCGGCATCTGAGGGCCCCTCTGGGGACAAAGAGCACAGCGGCTCACACACCTGACGGCACGGTCGTTACCTGTCTCACCTGTCCTCAGGACTCACCTGAACCACATACTCGATGGTGGAGAACAGAGGCAGCAGCTCGGCAGGCTGGTTCACCTCAGAGATCCCGGCGTAGGACGGAGGAAACTGAGACAGAGACATGGTCAGACTCCACCCGTGACACCCGGAACACCTGACAGGTAGGCGGGGCTTGCGGCACTCACCTGGTTCCTCTGGTAGCAGAAGTTACAGGCCCACAGCTTGGCTCTGTAGTCAACCTGGCTGAAAGTTACAAACACACAGACAGATGAGTGCGGGGCACACAGGTAAAGGGTGGGCGGACAGGTGAGTGTTGGAGGCTGTGATGCGTACCAGAGTGGGTTGAGTACAGCGCGGCAGGTGGCGCGACTACAGAGAACCGGCTCGTACTGGATCGGGGGCAGGTCGGTCCTCTCCTTCAGCGGAGTGAACAGAGCCGCCACCGGCACCACCATCCGGGTCGCCTCCAGCCGGCTCGACGGCCACACGTTCCAGCTGAAACGGACGCCGTCGCGCTCCTCATTCTGAGCGATGTACTCTGGAAAGGTCGTCATGAAACCACCAGGAAGTGGGAGGGGGGGTCACACTGTTGGGTATAAGCTGATGAGAGGAGGAGAGGGTGGGGGGTGGGCAGTGTGAGGGTAGTGCAGTGATATTGGCAGCGTGGGAATAAGCCCCGCCCACTTTCTTCTAAAGTTACGTTGGTTCGGATTGAAGTGATGTTTTCGTGCAAACACCTGCGTCACCGTTTCAAAGGTGAGGCTTTATCTCTCACCAGACTGACACACCTGTGAGAGGCGATGTCATCCTGGTGTTTATCTCAAACAGGTGTCCGTGTTTATATGCGACCAGGTAGCAATTTTACTTGTCCCCCCAACCCACATTCTCACTGGTTCTACTTTCTAGACATAAACACAGGTGAGTCTCAAAGGTAAGAAAAATCACACCCAAAGACAGGCACAGCTCCAGGTGAGCAGTTACTAAAAGAGAAAAACAGCAGGCAGCGCCTGAACCTGCGAGATGGATTTTTATGGTGA